GGCAGCAACCACTATGAGTAATAAGTGTCTGTTCTCTTCTCAATCACAATGAGGCTCCTGTTGTTTTCACTCTTATGAGTGATCTCTGGTGTGTCAGTCAGAAGCAGCAGCCTTGTCATATTTCCCCCCCTTCACTGAAGAGCAAATCCTTGTTGCTCACAGCAGCAGCTGTCTGATATGTGCAGATTGGGGGACTTTCATGATCCCTACATATTCCCAAAACTATTTAATATGTAGGGACCATGAATATGAACCTGTCAAAATGTGTAATTTTAAGTTACACATTCACAACTGCAATAGTTAATTTCAGTCTTTCTTTCTTTTTTGGGAGGGAGAGAAAGAGAGAGGAGAATGTGGTATGAATACAAAGTTGATGGATTTGATCAATGCTATCATTGGTCAACCAAAGAAAAAACAAACAAACAAATTATCATATAAAACTGAATAGCATTAGACTCTTGCTGTATGATTTATTTCAGAGGAAGGAACTGGCAAAACTGGCTCTGAGTGTTCCTTACCTCAAAAAACTCTATGAAATCCACAAGGTCACCATAAGTCAACAGGCATGTTTAAGGCACATATACACACACTTTAACCATGCTTACTAACAGTTTCCTAGTAACAGCTAGGTCAAGGGAACCATATATTTCTTCACTCAGGTTTCACAAGTTCTGAAGGGCATGCACCTTCTTAGCCACAGAAGTTTGCCTTGACATCACTGTTGTCATTCTGTTTTCAGAAGAGTGATTTAATACAACTCTTAATTCACAGATCAGTTTCTCACATGGACAACAGGAATTCATATCAGATTAATTTCTTACAAAAAGAGGATTTATTTCTATAACCTCAGTTAAAGTGATAACAAAATCTAAATTGCACATTTCAATGCAAATTATACTAGTACACAAGAAGAAAACTCTTCCACTTCAGAGGCTTAACAAGAGTTACAACTTGTAAACTATAGCCATTTGCAGACTGCTAGAAATAGTGCAAATTGAGTCCACTTTAAGGGTTAAGGTTAGGGTTAGGGAATCATGGGAACTGTATTTTATTGTGGGGCCAGAGCTCTCTGACAGAGAAGGCTCAATGTCTCAGGAAAAAAAAAATGCCCATGATTCCCTAGCACTAACCCTAACCCTTAAAGTGGACTCAGTTTGCACTATTTCTGGCAGTCTGCAAAGGCCCAAAGTCTTTTTCAGGCATGAAGCACATTATGAAGATCATCAAGGACAATTTCTATTTAACTTCTCTTTACCTCTAAATATACAAGTGATTCAAATAAACAACATTTCAAATTAGGATTGTGTTCATCTCTCATATTTCTGGGAAGATTTTCCATTTCCCTTCTCAGAATCTATGACCCTCTGTTAGGGCCTCAGCAGACGACTAATAGAGTCGTCTCCGAGGCCTGGAAGAGGAGGGGCAGCCGCATGAGTGGCGCCCCTTCCTCTTCCCGAGGTTGCCCTCGGAGCTGCTGGCCCTCCGCATGGCTGGCGCTCCCAGGGAAACTTCCCGCCGCAGCGACTGCACGCGCTGCGGTGGAAAAGTCAGGGAAAGCGCACCCTACGCATTTAGGGTGCACTTTCCCTGACTTCTAAAAGTAGCGCCAATTTGGTGCTCCTTTAAGGGTCGCCGCAGGAGCGCCACGGTGCGGCTGCCATGGTCCTGCGGTGCTCTGGACCAGGGTGTCCTGGACGCCCTGGTCTGCATCCCCCCTTAGTTTAGATATATTTTCCAATGAAAATTGCCACTTTTTGTGTGTATTTTAAAGTATGTGTGATTTTGTGTATATTTTTGAAATTATAATGACTCCTATGTCACTGAAGTAGTGAATCAATTCCATGCTTCAGTATGAATGTAAAAGAAGCTATCCAAATAGCTAAACCTACTTTGGGGATTAGAGTCAGTGTGGAGTAATGGTTTAAGCACTTGGCTACTACTCTGGAGACCAGGATTCAAATCTGCCCTCTGCCATGGAAACCCACTGGGTGACCTTAGGCAAATTGCACTCTCTCAGCCTAGTAAAGGCAAACCCCCTCTGTAAAAATCTTGCCAAGAAAACCCTGTGATAGGTTCTTCTTTGGGTCTCCATAGATTAGAAATTATTTGAAGGCACACAACAACAACAATGGAGATGGGTTTAAGGATCTTGGTTAATTCCTTTAGAATTTAGAATAAATCTGAAATGTATTCCCTGTTCTCCTGCCATGAAAGCGACCTAACATCACTGGAAGTGCAAGTCCAGCTACACTGTACAAATAGTGAAGTTTTAATACCAATTGTAATATTGTAGCTCTAGCCTATAGATTCCTAAGATTTGTTAGTTTTATAAATTCTTTAACCTCTGCCAAAGCATTCTGGTGTCTCACAAAATTACAAATCTTATGATTCCATAGGATGTAATCATGGCAGTTAAAGTAGTGTCAAACTGCATTATTTTTACAGTGTAGATATACCCTGTGCCTGATCTACAAACATTCATGCATCTTTTCTCATTTGTACTCCAGACAGTGAAGATATGATGATGATGATGACGATGTTGACAATGAGCAGTCAGACAAAATTTTGTGGTATTAATTTATTGCTATGACAAAGTCTTTTAATGGAGGGTGTTACAATATTATTCATTTTGTTATGTTTTAAAGCATATCATTATGTTTGCCATTTCCTTCCTCTGAGGTTGAATGAGTGTGACTTGCCCAAGGTCACACAGTGCTTTCCATGGCTGGGATTCAAACCCCAACCTCCAGAATCATAGTCCAACACTCAAACCACTACACCACACTGGCTTTTAAAATTTTATAAATTAGTGTTATTTTTAATAGGAGAGTTTATTTACCTTATTTCCCTGCGTATAAGACTA